ACACACACACACAAGGCTGATGTCACACCTCTCTCACTGCTATGTGTGAGACACTGCTTTAAGATGTCATTGCTTTTGTCACCTAATGAAGGCCAGCATGCAGAGGCAGGCATCTCATCCCACACATCCAACTACCGTCCACTTCAGCTGCATCATCAGATACATTTCTGTTCAAAAGCATTTTACAGCAGCTGTGCAGTGAATTGTGTGTTATTGTGTTGGCTGCATCTGTAAATCATTAATAAGTGAATAATGGCAGACATGAAGTGTACATACAAGCATCTTATCCTTATCTTATGATAATCAAATATGATATGATATTTTATATTTAGCGTCTGTGCCAGCAAGCAGATGTAAAGCCTTAATCATGTTTCCATTTTTGCTATATGTTTTGTTATGTCTATATAGTCTGGTTTCCATGGCAATATACAAAGACATTATATACAACACAACATGCCATTATTTTGTTTACACAGGGATGTTTTGTGACTAGAATACACATTAGCAACTTATCCTTAAAAGACACAAGTCAGAGCAGCTCTGTGGCTTTGTGTCAGGTTTGTTCTGTCTGTCATTGTGTGAATGTAGTGCACTCTTTTTCCCAGCAGAGAGAGCTCAAGCTAGGTGCCACTGCTGCAGCTGCCATTCTCTGCTCTCTGTGCACAGATACATCAAGTAGCAGGGTCTGGTGTGTGAGTGGCCATGGGTATTATATTATTGTGTTCACAGTCTGTTAGCTCACTCGCTACACTTCTGTCATGCTGTTGCAAATTTGAAAAATTAGGATTTTTGTTGCAAAACAAATAATCTCACTTGATGAGATGTAAGAAGATGAGGTGTGTACTGTACGGTAGCTGACATGTTCAGATCCTTCATTCACATCATTAGAGAAAGTAATAGGCTGCAGTGGTTGTTGCAGGGCTAATAGTGGGTAGTCAGGATAGTGAGTCAGTCTTCTTTGTCTCCCTCCATCAGGTTTCATTCCTCGTCTTGGCTCCCTTATTTGCTAACATTTCACTCTGTTCTCACACTCACACATTTCTCTCTCTCTCCTACACAAGATCTCTCTTTCTCTACATGCATTTTCACCTGACTGTTGGTGATATAAGAATTTAGAAAACCTGATTTAAAAATGTCGTTGTATATTCCTATTGTTTATTGTATTTTAACAGTTTTTGTTTAAGTTTAATATTACATTAACAATTTTTATCTGACATTTTGGGCGTTTATTTACTTGCTCCAAACCTGCTGATGCCAATGCCCCTGTTTTAGATTTTACTTCAGATTTAGTTTTTTGACAGCAACCTCTCTCTCTCTCTCTCCAACTCTGTGATGTACCATGATGGTCTGGCATATGTTCTCATGGGAGCCTTCTCAAGTTAACACACTGGAAGAAACAGCACTTTAGGAAGGTCACACACACATTCACACACACA